TTTTTTTTTGGAGAGACAGGGTCTTGCTGTGTCTCCCAGCCTGGAGTTCAGTGGCGCAATGTTGGCTTACTGCAACCTTTGCCTCCCAGGCTCAAGCAGTCCTCCCATCCCAGTCTCCTGAGTTGCTGGGACTACAGGCATGTGCCACCACACCTGGCTAATTTTTGTGTTTTTGTAGAGATGAGATCTCACCCAAGCTGGTCTCAAACTCCTGTGCTCAAGTGATTCATCTGCCTTGGTCTCCCAAAGTCCTGGGATTATAGACCAACCACTTCTGGCCATATTATATATTCTCATTCCAAACTTCCCATATATTCCCTCTAACTTAGTCATCCTCCCCTAAGCTAAATGAATATGTATTTTACTGTAATAATTTGTACATACTTTTAGATTATGATGATATCATGTTATGGTTAATTGCTTACATGTTTATCTTCTCTGATGTGAGTTACTTGATACCAGAAACCAGGTCTCTCTTATCTCTGTATCTGCAGCACTGCTTGTGGTGGTGGGTACTCAGTAGAGGGTTTTTGTTAAATATTTGTATTTTAATGAATGTAGCCTTAAGAAGTATTGCTGTGGTGTGTGCCTTTTGTTTTTCTAATAATAATAATAATGTCTTTATTCTAGCCAGAGCTTCCAATAGTTCTTTCAGAATAGCCTGATGCTATTCATTTATTTCATTAGCTAATTCATTTATTTAATAGTTAATTTTAGAGACATCTGTTATGTAATCTGAGATTATAAAATTATGATTAATAGTGGTGAGGATTTAATCAGAACATAGATGTTTCTACTCTGCCATCACAAATAGAAGACATTGCTGCTCACTCTTCCTGACACAGCAGGAAAACCCCCAAATCACCATCATATTTTACAGATTTTACCCCTTACACTCGTATATACCAAGATAATTTTTTCTTATCTAGAGCAGAGTGCCAGCTTTGTTTTTATTTATGTCCAGGTCTGGGTAAATTGGGAATCCATAGCTTCAAGATTAGATAATGAAAAACATTTAATCTAATATTGTCACAATGTTTACAATATAGCTTCAAATGCTTTTATTGGAATTTCATTTATTTTGAAATTTATTCTGTACCATTTTAGGTAATAAACAACCATCTAAGATGATTCTCTGGGTTCTCGAATGAAAGTCTTACACAGTCACTTTATAGAAAATAGCATCCAGGGCTTGTCAGATACAAGGAGGCTGGCCTTGCTCATGGTCACTCAGATAGTAGGTTTCAAAAAAAGCACACATGTGAATGGCTTTTGCTGAAAGAATTTAATCTACCACTAAAATGAGAGAATTGGCTTTTTCATTCTCATATTAGAAACCATAATAAAAGGAGATTAAGGAAGCCAAAAGACTCAAAGATTAGCTGATTTGGATTTTTAGTCACAATTTCATTTTCATTTTAGAAGGAAGATTCAAGAAGGGCAATCAGTGATTGAAATGGCAACTTGCAGGCTATGCAGTCCAGTATCTTAGGTCCTTTCTTCCTAAAGGAGATGGATCAGTCCTTGGTAATAACCTAGGCATATCCAAGTTTATCTATTAATCTTTTAGATTGCTGTGGGCTGGAAAAGGAAATAGAAGAAAAGCCATTTACCCATCTTCTTCTGATTTAGACCTTATGTTTTGATTTAGGCCCAGTATTTTAAAAACTCTTAAAATTTTCACTATTTTTTAAGAGTATATATATATATGTGTATTTTATATATATATTATATATGTATATATAATATATATGTATATATGTGTATATATGTATATGTGTGTGTGTATGTGTGTGTGTGTGTGTATATATATATGTATTTTGAAGGGTTTCTTCTCCCTGTATGGTCAGTTTCCTCCAAACTGCATTTTTCTGCTGGTTTTACCTTCTCCTCACATGTTTATTTTAACTTGTTATATTTTTAAGAATGAAGCACAGTTGATTGGAAGTCCAGTGTACACAGAAGAGCCTTTTTGACTTACGATCTTCTGTATATTACTATCAATGGACCATCAGTGTCAGATCTTTTTGGGGGGACTTGTCAGAGTCCCCAAATAAGGTACCTGCAGTACTCTGAATGGGAGAGTTTAGGCTTTAGCTGCAAGCATTCTGGGGAACTAGACTCAGAAGATAACTGGGGTTTTTGATACTTGGTATATATATTCTTGCTTAACCTCCCTGTCTTCAGTGTGGTACCTCTTCAACCATTGTATGCCCCAGTCAGTATCATTGTATTTTGTCCTTTCCTAAGAAAGGCAATTCCTCTGAAGATAAGGTGAAAGGGAGGGTCTAAATCTTTCCTCAACAACCTTTTTAAAACAATCTTTCAACCAGTCCTCTTATTTTTATCCTCACCTTTAGCCATACTTTCAGAGTACCCAAGTTCTCCAATTCCTGAGCCTTCTGGGTAGTTCTAAAGCATCAATTGGGTTATCTTTCCTTTGCTCTCTGTGGGGCAAGCTCACTCACTCTCTGGTTGTGCCTCAAGTTCATCTTCTCTATGATCATGTTATCTGAAATTTCAGTCCCCATTTCTACTTCCTATCCTAAATCTGTCTAACATAACATACACTACTTTTACTCTCTAATTAGACTATCAGCTCTATAAGAGCGTGAGTTATTTTCCGTTTTGTTTGTGGCTATATCTCCAGAACCTAG